CGACTTAGCCACCAGGGAAGCCCTTCCCCACCACATGCACCTATATGTTGATGGTGTGGGTGGCTCCCCATGTCCTAACCTCCATCTGCATGTCTTCCCCACTGTGGATTTGTGTCTGTAGACCCGATCCTGGTTGGTCCCTTCAGAAGAGCCTAGTTCCAGAGGCAGAGGGGGTCAGGACATGTGTGCCTCCCCACCTGGATCCCCCATGATTCATCTACCCAGGTGCCACAGCCCCATTTCAACTTAGCCCATATCGAGCACCTATTGGTTGCTCTTAAAGTTAGCTATCAAAGGAGGCTGGGTCAGACAAATTCTCAGTTTAGGAAACAGAATGGGTGAGGGCCCTGAGAAGGGCAGGAGAGAGATGTCACCCTAGGGGCAGCTCACTGGAGCCTTTGCATTTGTTTTCCTTTCTGGGGTGCTCTTCCTTTGGTCCTTACTTTGGCTCTCAGCTCAACTGTCCCCTTCCCAGAAAAGTCCCCCTGACCCCTCTGCCCATCCCGGATCCCCTTCAGCTGCTCTCTCATCTTGTTTTGTGTCCTCATCTTGCTTCCTGCTGAAATTGCCATCTCACCTGCTTCCTTGGCTATGGCCAACTTCCCCATTAGAGCCCTTGCTCCCTGGGGCCAGGCCTTGATGGCGTCTTCGCTGCTGCATTGGTACTTGGCATAGTGGCCGGTGTTCAGTGGGTGCTGGAGGAATAGGCATCTGCTACCGGGTCCTTTCTGGGGTCCTGGGGGGGGGGGTGGCCAGCCTGTGGACTGGAGTCCACAGCTGGCCTGAGGTAGGGGCTCTGGAAGGCTCACCAAGGGGCCTGGCATGGTCCAGCACTGGGGACCTGACGTGATCCACTGGGGCAAGATGTGAGGGAGATGAGGTGGTATCTGCAGGGCACAGTCTCAGTCCCTGCGTGGAGCCTCAGCCCCTGCCATCTCAGAAAGTGGCCAGAGTCCTGGCAGGTTCTTGTTTGGGCCTCAGTTATAGAATGGGATGTGTGGGTTCCTAGGTGCTCTTGGCCACCCTCTTTCAAATGCCTTCTCAGAGGGCCAGAAGACCCCTGAAGTCCGACTTCAGCTCTGCCTCTGACCTTGATATGCCCTTGAACAAGGGGTTTGACCTTGCTGTGATTTGATCTCATCTTTTAAAAAAAATTTAGTATTTATTTTTAGTCTTAATTTTGGAAACACCATGTGGTATATGGGATCTTAGTTTCCTGACCAGGGATCGAACCTATGCCTCCTATGTTGGGAGTAGTGTCTTAACCACTGGACAGCCAGGAAAGTCCCTGATCTCATCTTTGAGATGGTCTGAGAGTGACTGTTCTGCCTTTCTTGCACTAAGATGGAATCGGCTATGGGTGGTGGCTTCTAATAAAGAACAGGGCAGTGTTTCCTGACCCCTTTGTGGTCCCCACCTTGACACCCTTCTGACATATTTTTATCTTCTGACTCTCCTGACATGATGCTCTGAGCACCAAATCAGGGCAGTTGGCTCCTGAGATGGTGGGAAACTCCTGACTCCTTTTGGAGGCCCCCCCTTCAGTACCATTCCCACCACTTCCTTGCCCTGTTCCTTCCCCTTCTACATTGCTCAGTCTTAGTCCCTTCTGTTCTCAGAGAGCAGCAAATAAAGTGGGACATGGGGGGACAGCTGAGAGAAGTCCCCACTGACACGTTTCTGATGGAAAGAAAAGAAGGTCAATCTCCTAAAAGGCTCGGAACAGCCTGTCTCTGCTCTGGATCTCCCCGGGGGGCAGAGATCCTCTTCTGAAGTGGTCATTCCAACCGCCCTGACTCCCAAGGGCCTGCTGTGTGTGAAATACTGTGCCAGGTGCTTTGGGCCCTTGTCTCATTGAGTCCAAGTGATCTGGTCCAGTCTCCGGTTTTGAGTCCTGGTGGTGAGGAGTGTGGGCAGAGGGTAATGACTCCAGCCCTGTCAAATGTCTGGCTTCTAGGGAGGACCAGTTGGAAATAATGTATGTGCAGTTACTTTGAAAATCTCCTGTAAATATGATTTGAGACATTAGGACTGTTGCTTTTATTTTTCTTTCCCAAACATGAGCTATTTTGAAATTTATGTGTCCTTTTGGCTGGAGCTTATGCAAAGCTATTGTGGAAAGGTATGAATAAAATGTCCCCACTCCTCTGGTGTAGCTGGTCATGGGTCTCCATATTAAATGTCCCCAGTGTGGGGAGCCCCAGGCCAGGACTCAGTAGCCCGAACCATGTCCTGTGTGGCATTATTGCAATGACGTGGGTCTTGATTCTCCTCAAGACGGTGATGGCCCCACGTCTGGCAAAATAGATTTCTGGCCTCTATCTTCTCCAAGGAGCCGTCTCCAGCCTGAGCAGGTCATGGGGCCCTTGAATGTAATTAAATAAACGTGTTAAGTACTTTCTATTGAGTTGATCCTTGTTTGAATGAAATGGAAGGAAGGTGGCAGGATCACTGCCAGGAGCTCTAACATCTGGAAAAGGTGAAGGGTGGAGAGGTTTTGGGGTGAGGACCAGAAAAGAGGGATTTGGGAGGAGAGGGGATAGGGCTGGGGGCTGAGCACAAGAGGCTGGGGGAGCCAGGCTGGCTGGGCAGGGGCTGGGCAGGGTGAGTGCCAGGCAGAGAGGCCCTCAGGTGGGAGCTGTCGTTGCAGTGGCCACAGCGGACTCTGCACGGGGCAGGGGTGAATCAAATGATACTGAATTCGACTTCACCAAGCTGTGCAACCGGCCTGGACTAATAGTGCTTGTTGGTGACTGCTGCTGCTGCTAAGTCGCTTCAGTCGTGTCCTACTCTGTGCGACCCCATAGACGGCAGCCCACCAGGCTCCCCCGTCCCTGGGATTCTCCAGGCAAGAACACTGGAGTGGGCTGCCATTTCCTTCTCCAATGCATGAAAGTGAAAAGTGAAAGTGAAATCACTCAGTCGTGTCCGACTCTTTGCGACTCCATGGACTGCAGCCTACCAGGCTCCTCCGTCCATGGGATTTTGCAGGCAAGAGTACTGGAGTGGGGTGCCATTGCCTTCTCCGGTTGGTGACTGAGCACCTTGCTAAGCACCTCCTTGTCCCACTGCTTTCTGCTCCCCAGCAGCCCTGAGGGAGGATTTGAGGAGGGTGTTCTGTGGATGTGAGAGCTCAGACTAGAGGTCTCCAAGCTGGTCAGTGGTGGGGTGGGGCCTGCAGACCGTGGCCCAGTGTCTTGGAGAACGTGCCACTCTCTGTGTTCCCCACATTGGGCAGCTCCAGCAGGGGGCTGTGCCGAAGATTCCCCAGATAGAAGTAAACACAAAATGTCGCCTCAAGTCTAGGGGCATTCTTTGCGGAGGTTTTTTTTGTTTTTGTTTTTTCCGAGAAACAGATTCTTAATTTTGCCAGCAATCAGCCTTTGTCCTGTCTTTACGTGGCCCAGTTAGGCAATCATGCCCCTGATTAGTCAGCCTAAGGTCCTCCTTGTTGCCTGCATAGAAATTCACACATGGGATTGAACATTGGCAGGAAACTCTGTCCATGATGTTGGAGGTGCATGTAAGCATTGGAGATAGGCCCACCCTGTGAAGCGTGGCTTAGATGCTAGATGCTGTTACCACCCCAGGCAGGCCCGTCCATCCCCCCAAGAGCCTGGTGACTTGGCCCTAAGAAACTTCAAGGCCAAATGAGTCTGAGTTACGAGTGGCCAAAAAGAGGTGAGACACTGAAGAGTCATAAATATTAATTTTTTTAGCACTCTATAATTCAAAAGTGACTCAACTGATTTGTCTCAAACTCTGCAGGGAAACTCAGCTGTGGCCTCAGATGTGAGCGCTCTCAGACCAGGAGGAGTCTTGTGTCCTCAGATGTTTTGCCTTAAGGCACTGGGGGCGATCGAGGAAGCGTCTCAGCCCCTTGGCTCCCCTTGGAAGTGCAGCTTCCTGAGGGCGGGGCTGGGCTTTTTTCCAGAAGGCTCTCATCTGACTGGTTCTCAGCAGGGACCTGTCCTGTGGCCACCCAGGTGCCTGACATGTGTTTCTACATCACAGAGCCCAGTCGGGCCTCCACAGTGAGCCCATTTCTCTTGATTAGATCAGTGCTTATTTGTACTTGCCATGGACCTGTTACAGGGCTAGGGACTGGATGGCAGGTGAAGTCTTTGCTTAAATTCTGGGCAGGGAGAAGTGTTGGGCGGGGGGGTCAGGGGATGGTGCGGAAGACAGAGGATTTACAGCCAACAAATAACACGAGCAGGAGAAGAGAGGGTGGTATGACAGGGAGGGATGCTTGATTCAATGGGGGAAGTCTTGGGAGACCTCCCTGAAGAAGTGACCTTTGATGGGAGACTTGCAGAGTAAAATGAAGCCAGGCAACCAGACAGAGGGGAGCCCTCGGGGACCCAGGTCTTGTGGTGGCAACAGGACTGGCGTGCAGGAGGAGCTGAGCCAGAGCATCAGGGCCAGGGAGGAGAGATGCAGTGAGATGAGGCCATGATGGAGGGTGGTCCGGCTTATGTGGGCTTTGCAGGCTGAGGCAAGGGAAGAATTCCCAGGGCAATGGGAAGCCTTGAAGGGTTTGGGCAGGGGAGCCTCCTGATATGATTTACGTTGTAAATAGTCTGCGATGGGGATGACAGGGGCATGGGTGAGAGAGGATGGTGGTAGGGGGACAGGAGAGGGGTGGAAACAGTCAAGGTGTGTCGGGAGACAGAACTGACCTGATGGTACCCAGGCCCTTTTATTCCATGTCTGGGCCCCTCACCCCCATCCAGGTATCTTTAATGTATCAAAGCATTGCTAAATAAACTCCCATGGAGTTTACTACAGGGACACCAGCATATATTTCTTACTGAAATTCTTTTGTTGGGAAGGAGCAGACAGCGAGAGGAGAATGCTTTTTCCACCCCTGGTTTAGATGTCATCAGAACGGCCAGCTGAAACATTTTGAGTAAAGCCAAGCTTCTTCTGTTCATACTGGCTAATGTGTTACTCTCTGCCCCCTGCCCCCCAAGTTGCTGTCCACCCCCTGCCACTGGCCAGCAAGGGGACACTCATGCCCCTGTCCACTTCCCATGTCAGGGCTACCGACAGTTATTACAAAAAAGTTGTCCGATTTGGACTGAGTATAAAACACATCAGCTTTGTTGACTGCACACCATGTAATTCCTTCAGCATCGTGTGTGCAAACCTCTTCTTCTATGGTTTGGCCAAATTCCTGCAACTGCAGTGGTCCAGTGTTAGCCATTCATTTCCTCTAAGACATTTGGGTGGAAAAATCTACAAAACAATAATAGATCAATACATTTAAATTAGAACTTTCAAAAATTCAATAATGGTATTTACAAATTAATAAAGCACTGTAAAGAAAATATCTGCACTTCTTTATTTAGGGATACAGTTAATTTTTTCATTGATTAAGCATTCTTTTGGTGGATGGGATGTGCGCAGGGAATTTGTTTTTTCTAAGAAGGAAGTCCTGTGTGGAAGCTAGAGCATCCATGTTTCTAGACCCCCACATAAGTTACCAATGCATCACGCAGACGGGAATCAGCAAGCGGCTAGAGGAGGAAGTGTACCTGGTTGGGCAGGAACTGCGGCAGAGGTGGGACCACTCCGGGTCACGTGCAGTCTGAGTGGTGAAGTAGGGGATGGAGGTAGTGACAAGTGCAAGTCCCTCTGACTTCAGAACGTATGAGTGCTCACTGTGGTAAGGAAATCTGGTATCGGAAATCATCATTTATCAAGCATAAATCAGGGAGCCATTCTTCTTTGTTCAAAAGAATTCCCCATGGAAATCCTCAAAATTAGCCAACTTACTCTTGTGCATCTGGAATAAAACGCGGCATTTTTTTCCCCCTAAAAATAATGACTCAAGTTTTCAGGACTGTACTTAGTGCATCAAACAAGGAAGAGCCTCCCCTGGCTTGAGCCTGGGGTGTACCCTGCTTGGGGTGAGAACGAGCTGAGGGGACTTGCAGGAGGTGGCTGTAGCCCTCTGGCCGCTGTGGCATCTGGGCGAGGTCATGGCCTCAGCCACAGGCTCTCCTGCAGCCCTAGTACCCACGGCCACTCATACACACATCTTTATTTTATTCTCTTCCCTCTCCCCTTCTTTCTTCCCCAAAATGTTGACTGAGGAGCTGGGGGACCACCTACTGTGCATGTCTGGCGAGGGGACAGGGGATGAGGCTAAAGACATGGACACCCCATCCTAGTGGATGGCATGAGGTGGATGCCCAGCACTTTTTCCACCAGATGGCCTCAGGGGCTGGGCTCCGCCTGGGATTTCATGAGGGTCTTCAATCATGGATGGAGGTCCTGATGCTGGGGGACCACGATGTGCTTGGTACCCACAAAATCCAAGTGGAGTGTGAAGGTCAAAGGGTTGTCCACAGTCAGTGCCTTCGAGTGTAAGGGCAGAGATGGTGTTTAGAAAAGGGGTGCCCTCTAGCTGGAGTTGGGAGAAGGAGGGAAGGGCCCTTGCAGGGGCAGAAAGAGCCGGGAGGGACAGTGGGAGGGAAGACTGTTGGGTTTGTAGACAGTGTTTCCCAGAAGTTAAGGGAAGCAGAGACATGGTGGGTGGGGGTCATAGTGGAAGGGGTGCCTGGAGGAGCCAGGGGCAGCCTGTCTCGGGCATCACCTGTCTTGGGAAGCAGTCCCAATTCTGGGGAGAAGGCCGTCTCCCGTTGGATGCCCCGACAGATGCCCTGTGAGCTGGGTAACTTGGCCATTGCCCTGGTTACGATGCTGAATTCCTCCGCGGGTCATTCCTGGCTGCATCTGCTGTATTGTCATCATTAGTCCCCAACTCCACTGCCGGCTGTGGTGGCGGCCCCTTGTTACCTGCAAGACAGCGTTCCACTACCTGAACTTGGTGTTCGAGGCCACCTCTGCCCCCGCTTACAGTCCTTATCCTTCTCACAGAGCCTTCATGGCAAGCTGCCCCCTCCCTGGGAATGAGCACCCCCCACACTGTCTGCCCTCACGCCCGGGCTTACATCGTTCCTTCTGCCAGTACTCTCCCCACTTCTCTAGTCAGACTCCGTTGTTCAGGCCCGGATGCAGTTCTGCCTCCACTGTGGGCCTCTCCTGTGGTCTGACTCTGGGCCTTTGTGTTGTCACTTATCCCCAGCTGGTAGAGCCTGGGCCCCAGACAGCGCTGTGTGCTCGGTGGGTCCCCAGTGGGCTTGCCCTACCCAAAGGCCGTCCCCGATCACTGAGCCAGCAGATGCTGTCCAGAAACCTCATAGAACTGGCCCTCTGTCCTACTCTCTTGGACCTTGATGGAAATACGGCCAATGTACTTTGTTGTCAGCTGGTGTGACATTCAAGGCCCACTGCTACCAGGTTCCATCCTGCCTTCCCAGCTTCATCTCCCTCATCGCCGTCTCCTCTTTTGTCACTGAGCACGCCTCCCCATTGCTCAGATACACCTGGCCCCTGAATGCCTCTGTATAGCCCTTTCCTTGTCTTAGAAAGCCAGCCACTTCACCTCCCCCCACCCAGAAAGCTCCTACTCATCCTCCATGCCCTCGCTGAAAAGTCATCTGACTGTGCAAGCACTGGGGTAGGGTTAGCCCCTTCCTCAGCTGAGCCTTCGGGTTGCTGTTAACCCGCGACTAGACTAGAATCTGCATGCAAACGTCTGCCTCTCCTGTTCCTGTCTCTGCAGATACGTAGTAGGTCCTTAGCCAGCATTAATATTTGTAGACGCTCAGAGCAGTGTCTGGCACACAGCCAGGGCAATAGGTACCGGGTATTTATTTTGAGACTCTCGGGAGCAGTTTTTGATGGAAGCAACTTGGAAATTCGTCATCTTGCGTCTCACTGAACACTTCTATCACAGTGGAACAGAGTCAAGAGCTTGTCTGCGGGTCGGTGGCATGTACAGCAGGGAACTTCTTCCGAGGACTCATCTGAAGTCACACTCTATCAACAATTTTTAAGAGAGCATGTCAACATGTGTGTGTTAAGATTCTGATAAAGAGATGTTAGGGGAAGCAGTGTGCCAGCAGGAGCCAGTCTGTTGGATGTGATTGAAGCGTCAGTGGAGACACAGGCGCCCCCCCACCCACTCGTGGCCCAAGGCCGCCCTCCCTTGGTGGCCCCGAGGCTCTGTGGTCAGACCTTGCCTAATGGTAGCAAGGGAAGCCTGGGTGGGACCGGGATGCAGGAGAAAGCAGATGCTGCTGAAGGGAACAGCCTGGTGCCCGGGACAGGACCGCTGCTGGCTGCAACCAAACTGGACCCATGCTCTGCACAGCGGGGGCTGAGGGCCCCAGCCTCTGGGTGCTGCAGGCCGAGCCCAGAAGACCCTTTTCTCGAGGCTGGTGGTAGGGAAGTGCTTGAGAGAGTCTGTTTCTCCCCTCTGTGGCTGATGGCAGTGAGGGACCCACTGCTTTTTTCCAAGCCATTTATTGCCACTTACCACAGGCTTGGTTTACATCTGCTGCTGAGAGCAGAGTGATCCCAATTTGGAAGCCGTGGAGGCCGTTTTTCACCCACACTGACATAAGCCATGACTCTCGAAGCTGATGACACACTCCAGATAAGGTCAAATGCTCACAGAAAGGGACATTTGTTGCCTCTGTTGCTTAATCCCTGATTGCAAAGAAGCTGCAGACACTAATGGCTGCTGGGATGTGCCATCTTTGTCCCTGGGGGCCTGGCTCCAGGGCTCAGGCCTCCCCACCTTAGCCTCACATGGACACTACTCATTGCCTGCTGGGGACCCCAACCAGAGGCCCCACAGACCCAGCCTTGAGGAGGTTTTGGGTCTGGAGGGGACTGGTGGAGAGGAACCAGGCACTGGCTGGGGGTGAGCAGGGGCTCACTTGGCTGCACCCCGTGGGGTCCCCTTCCCTCTTCCTGTGGCCGTCAGGACTCCGCCCCTCCTTGACCTGTGGCCGTCAGGACTCAAGGCCCGTGAGTCTGCGATGGCGCTGATTCGGCCAGGAAGCAAGTGCTGTGAGAAAGAGAAGGTGGGGAAGTGAGGACAGGGAAGCGGTTGTAAGATTCTGGGAGAGAGAATCAGAGCACACCACGACCCCTTTTGTTCAACTCAAGGGAAGACCCATGAGCCAACACACCACCCGCCCAGGGACCTGGAGGAAAACTCACATGTGGATTTCCTCTGCGAGGTTTGGGTGTGAGACACATCTGGTCAAGGCTTCCTACGACTGTGGGTGCTCAGTGGGGTCAGAGAGGCCTCCTAGGAGTGCCCAGCAAAGTCCTGCTGGGATTCCTGGTCCTCCAGCCATCTTGTCACCCCTGTGATGTGGTGTCTACTGCCCAGGCCCACAGGGTCCACTGATGGAGAAATTGCATTCCGCAGCATCCAGAGTCCATGACCTCTGGCTGGTGCAGGTCCTGATGGGGTGGGTGCAGTCCCTGATGCCCTGTTCCTGCCCTCCATCCGTGGAGGGGGCTGCTGCAGCTTCTTCAGTCTGGGGAACAAGCCAGCTAAGGGGTCTGAGCCCTCAAGGTGTGTGTTTGCGTGTGAGGGTGCTGGGGAGAGATGAGGGTGTTGCTCTCCAGAGGCCAGCACCTTAGAACAGAGTCCTGAGGTTTCAGGACTGTTCCATTGGAACGGAAGTTAGTCCATAGTCCACCCCATAGCCAATGGGGTGACAGAGATTCCCTAATGGGTTTCCCCACATTCCAGGATTGAAAGCCTGTGCTGGGCCCTCCTAGGCCTCTTTAGGAAGGCTTAGTGATGGCCTGCAGGTATCCACTTCCTGGAAGTCTCCCCTTGAGGAGACATGGCCCCTTGAGGAGGTCTGAAGGCTTGGTGGAGTGGTGCTGGGAGATGGAGGGAGTCCCCTCTCTTCACATGCTGGGCTCTACTACGTGAGCCAAGAACTCAGGACTGCATGGGGCTCCTGTTTCCCTCCCTCTGGTGTGGGACCGCCTGGCACGCACTCGATCTCATGTGCTCTGCGCACCCAGCTTTACAACCTCAGGGTAGAGAGTTGCTTTGTGTAGCGATTCCACTCACAGGGACTTTTTGGAAGGTCACCCATGTGGCTGCTGATGCTCTGGGTGTGTGGAACTTTTAGGGAAGGGCTGCTTTGGAGGGTGAACACCTGCTCTGGGGGTGACTGCAGGGCCCCTGTTGGATTTGGATGTCTTGGATGGGGTCCTGCCCCTCCTCTCCTCTGGGCATAAGATCATTGGAAAGAAAATTACTTTTGTCCCAAGATGTGTACTTCCCACTTGTGGTTTTTTATTTCATCCACACTCCCCACTTCAGAAATCTCTTACCTGTCCAGTACAGATCAAATGAGTAATGATTTGCCCCTGGCGGCTGTATTATGGTTAAATTCATCAGGGACTGGCTCTCTGCCTTTTTCCCCAATGTGGGTGTTCTAGATTGGGTTAAGTCAGGCAAAAGATTGGACCACTGAAGGTGCTGGCTCGTAAATGTCCTGTGGGTGAATGACAGTGCCCTTGGCTTCTGAGTTCCAGTGGATTCTCTCCCTGCTGTTGTTGTTCAGTTGCTCAGTTGTGTCCGACTCTTTGCAACCCCATGGACTACAGCATGCCAGGCTTCCCTGTCCTTCATTAATCTCCTGGAGTTTGCTTAAACTCATCTGTGTTGAGTCGATGATGCCATCCAACCATCTCATGCCCTGCCACCCTTTTCTCCTCTTGCCCTCAATCTTTCCGAGTATCAGAGTCTTTTTCTGCAGAGTACCTCATGAGAAACACTGGGCTGGATGAAGCATAAGCTGGAATCAAGATTGCTGGGAGAAATATCAATAACCTCAGATATGCAGATGACACCACCCTTATGGCAGAAAGTGAAGAAGAACTAAACAGCATCTTGATGACAGTGAAAGAGGAGAGTGAAAAAGTTGGCTTAAAGCTCAACATNAATCTTTCCCAGCATCAGGGTCTTTTCCAGTAAGTCAGTTCTTCCCATCAGGTGGCCAAAGCACTGGAGCTTCAGCTTCAGCATCAGTCCTTCCAATGAATATTCAGGGTTGATTTCCTTTAGGATTGGCTGATTTGATTTCCTTGCTTTCCAAGAGACTCTCAAGAGTCTTCTCCCTGCCTGCTCCCATACCTTACCCACGGGGATGCTGCTGGCCCACACAGATAGCACATAGATCCATGGGCTCCTTGGACTCTATCTTCCAGGAGGACCACTTGGCTGCTGAAAGCATTGTTATGACATTTTCCAAGTTGAGCTGTAAAGGTCTCTAGAAAAAGATGTTTCCAGCAGAATCAGAGAGGAAACAAAATTGGCTGGGGTCCATGGCACACGGTTCTGCTGTTTTTCCTGAAATTTCTCAAATGACTGCTGTGGTCCCAGCTCTTCTGGTTCCCCCGCTCCCTCCCTGTCTCCCCAGGCATCCAACTCAGGATGGCAGGGATGGTCAGTGAGGGACCTTCCTCACGGAGGCACC